CGAGAATTTGGTGCTCGACAGGGACAATCTGTGGTCCGCGTAGGGTTGAAGAAGCGATCTCCGTTGTCTGTCCAGTTGACTGGGATTGCGTGTGCACCGACACGAAGTCTAATTCGTTCAGATATCCCACTTGAGTTTCAAAGTTTCCGGTGACTATTACAGCGCTCGGTGAGCGAATACTTTGCATTTATTGAGAAATATCCTCGCAGAGTTCATCCTTGGTTTCAGGTGTACTGTAGTTGGTTACTTTCCGTTCGACTCTACTTTCAATCTTTCTGTCTTTCTCCTATTCTCCATCCGCATAGGTTGCCAAAATACAGCAACCAAAACCGCCGCACGAATGCGCATAGTTAATGGTTGTACAAACTGAACTGAACTGATAGTCGGTTGGTGTATACAAGGATACGACGAGTAAGTACCGACGCTTCGTCCTACATATGTTAACCAGTTGAGACAGTTCACAGTCGGTTTCTTACTGGAATCCAGTGAATAGGCGAGCGCCCAACTTTGACACTTAGCGCAATTCCAACATCAGTAGTACTAAAGGCGTCGGATGCCAAATCGCCTGACACAAGTAGGGTAAAGCGTAAGCATGAGGTTGGGTCAGAAGGACGCAGAGTAATGGTTGAAACGGGGTCTTGTGTGCATGTATTGAGGACAACATACGTGTAAATCGAAAGTTCCAAAGTTTATACGAAAGTCAGCTTGTTAACCGAGCTGACAGAGTGTGTGGACGCTGAACTGAGCTAAGTGGAAAGGGGAGTTAGGCTTCAACAGCCTTTTAATTATCTTTGGTTGCTTGTGGATTGCGGATGAAACAGATCCGATTGAATAAGCAATGTTGAAGGGATGCACTGATTTTGTTGAAGCAAAGTTTCGTGTTTTTGACACTGTTTAAAATAAGAGACAGTTTGATGAAATTTATTTAAATTTTCCTTATTGTTGTTGTTTAGATTGTTCATGATGTTAATGATAATAAAAACGGTTTGAAACTACCGCGTGCGGTCGTTTTCTTGATTTAACCTCTCAGTTGTACGCTTTGATTTAGTTGTTCAATTTACAAATCCTTGAACCCATTTCTTGGGTATAAAAATCTTTGTTCCATGATTTGTTTGGTTCATACACTTCGGACTGTAATTGTCGGTTTTCCTCGATTTCACATGTAAACTAGCACAATCACCTACTCGAACCAATGCACTATTTCCATTGCTTCAAGTGAGCGTAAATCATGTTTTGATTGTTTGCAGTAAGCACAACGCCTAGTACGATTCTAGTGATTCACCTTGCAGACACTGATGATGATTATTTACTAAACAAGAATAGACTTGTTTTTTTGTTGATGCTGTTGTGCTCAATGAACACATCTAGTCTACCATTTCTTGCTCCAAGCCCCCAAGCTCTTGATATCAATAGAACGAAAATGAAAACAATGATACAGAAGTGGTCCAGGGATTGCTCTCTTTGTGGGCGGAGATCCGTCTAACACAAGACATTCGCATCACCATTAGAACTCACCTCCCCCCATCAAGAAATATCTGATCAGCAGTTTATCACGACTATTGTGTTTAACTCGTTCATTGCTTATCCTAGCAAGTAACGAATGTAATATAATGGTTCTTGAGCTCGGATATATTAAGTTCCTTACCGATTCGTTATTAAACACACCGCTTTTCAGGGTCACGATTGGGATCGTTCTCGATCATAGCTGTACTAGCACGTAGGTAAATGAGATACCGGATTGATTGGACACACTGATGGTTGTCGCATTGGCTGTTACCAAATTACGGAAAAAAATCGAATGGCAAACGGCCTTTGATGGGCCAAGTGCTCGATGAATTACATTGCATATACCTTTGTATGGTAAATTTCTTTCATTATGCACAGCGTGGTGGACAGCAGACGGGAAACGCCTCATAGTCGCGGGGACCTGCTGTTCAGTGATGGATGGTGACGTAAGCCCTCGAGACTTGAGGTGGTGCACCACATAAGGCGTGGTGTTCAACCTTTCATCACTTATAGGAGATAGGCTACTTTAGACCTGTGTTCAGTCTACTTAATTTTGTGTTCCTGGATCCTCTGTGAAAGACATCTGATCATATAAATTAAGTAAAGATCCATTATTGTAGCGATTGCGCAAGCATTCTGTTGGAAGCTAGCACGGGATGACTGTTTCTAAACACGGAGTAAACATTGTTTTTGTAACCCGGACAAAAGAGAATGTTATGTAATTCTTGTTGAATGTCCTGATCAGTCATTTTTTTTCTTCTAAATGAATTGCCTGAAGAAGCCGTTGGATAGGAGTGCTGATCGTAAGCTACCACTAGGTTATGATCAGCAGAACTTTGCACTGTGGGTTGATCTACATGTAAAAGAATCGAGAATGGTCATTTAATTGAGTTGATGCGTCTTGCTTTACCGAATAAGCAGTCACCGATGCTTAGCAACGATTTTTCCGGGACGTGGCCATTTCTCACCTAACCAGTATCCTTTGGAATGATCTTTAAAGTAGACCATTCACCACCACCATCCTGTGCTTCGCTATTTTCTACTTCCTAATTGTCGTTTATTGATCTCTTGTTAGTTTATTCATCTAAAAATCTCAATATCAGCTGTTCTATTGTATCGATGAAAAACGACTGGTTCTCAATGATTCCTTGATATAGAAAACAATTTGGAGAATGTAAACCACTTTAAATTGCGTTTTTAAGTGTGGCGACCTTTTGTTTGTATTTCAGACGACCGATCGAAAAACGAGGCTGCCCGTCGAATGATGGAGGAGATTTTAGATCTCGCTGAGTGGATCAATATTCACCATCTTCCTGTAAGTAAACCTGTTGCTCGCCTATCTTGTGTGTGCTTTATAGAANNNTTATAGAAGGACCGTCGCTTATTCTGTTCACTGCCCCCTATTACCGCTTCCAACTACTGACTATCAGTGTTGGATTATCCGCATTTGTTTTCAGTGAATGCTCATCTCCGATTCTGGCCAGTTTCCAAACCAGTACAGAAGGCCCACGGGGTTACAAGACTTATCCACTGTTCTGTGCAACAACGAGCCATTGAAGCTCTTCATTAGCGATGTTCATGTGTTTTCCATTATAACTTCTTTTGGGGGAATTCCCTGCTACGTAATGGAGGATGATGGTTAGTCAAAAATTAAGTGGTGTAAAAACAGTGCTGGCAAACTGATTGCAAAAGTTTCATACTGACCCCAGTTTGAACTGTTTAGATTTTTTCTCAATTATTTGGTATAATCGGGCTAGACGGGAGAGAACTGATCGTTAACGCTTTTTTGTTTCGGACATTTCTTCTATGTCACAACTTTGTTTGGAGAGAGATTACAAATCGAATACACAACCTAATCAATCGGTAGGGATTGAGTCCGTTCGGGGGAGCTCCGAGAACTGCAATTTCCGATACCTCATCAACCAACAGAAGCACTTGCAGACGTGCGATAGTTTGATTCGCTTGGTTAAACGTTTTCACCGGTGCTATCCCTCGAATAAATACTGCTTTTGATCGTCTATTCCCAATATTTTGCTCAATAAACTGTCTTCCTTTTTTATATTGTAGCAATGCACACCGACACTGGAGATTCGGGATAGAGATGGATTCGGATTGCGGTTCGATATAGAACCTTTGCGGTTTCGTGGTTTCCTAGAGCCGTACACCAAAGACGGATGGTTAACTCGTTTCAAGCATTGAATGGGAGCTGATTTTATTTTCCCCCTTTACTTTTAATCTCTTTTTCCACATCTTGCGCCACGATTAGACCGAAAGCTCACTTAGATATCCGCTTTTTCGAAAGACAACGTTTCTATGAGGCTGTGATACAACTATTTTTTAAACATATTTTCCTCATTTTATTCTCTTCCTAATACACACGTATACCAGGATTAACGGAACGGGCTTTTTGTTGCGTACATCGTCTGGGTTGGAGTGGTCAGACAAGCGAGCAAAATATGTTATGCACAAACTCGCGAATACTGATGTAAGAAAACCGCTGATTGTTACACGTTCAGTTGAAGTCGCGTCGTTATATTATGATACTGATTTTCGAACAAACTCCATTCCATTCTTTTGAGTCTATCACCGGATTTTGTCCCACGAGACGTTCCCCAACGATTCCAGTCGACAAACAATAAGAGGCACTGCAAGCGACTTTTAGAAGCGTCAGCAAAGTGCGTTGATTTACTGAGAACCGTGCTATCTATATAGAGCTGCACAGTCTAGGAAATACAGGAACATCGATGGAGGGAATAGATTAACCACGTTGCTGTCCATTGTCCTGGATCCAATAATATCTAAGAAACACCGGCTGTTTCCCACTGATGCGGTTAGTTTAAATCCACTTCCCGTTGATGCCGTCGGAATTCTCAGGGGAAGATTAGATTTCCTCCGACAATTCCACAATTTTTGAGTATGAGTCTCAGGAAGAAACATTAACAGACCTTATAGTAAAATGATGACAAATATGAACCCTTTTGGATTGAAATTCCAGAATAATCCCATTGTAACATCAGAACACAAGTCCGAAAGCGAACAATTGTTTTCGAATGATTCATAATCCTGCCTGTACAGATCCTATGAGGGTTTGTTGTTGGTAGGGGCACATTTTCATGCTGGGTCGAAAGGTCGTTTGGGATGAGGAGAGGGGAGGAGTGGGATAAGCTCTGTGTCTGTGTTTGATTGTGGTTGGAGTGTTAGTGGTGATGTTGATGATCAATTTGGGGCCATGGTAAGTGGAGGGCTTGAACTAGTCGCTTTTGTGCACAGTTCTGGTGCGAACATGCGAATGCCTATCGCCTCAGCGGTGGCTAGTGTGCGTAAGGGCACAGCTCTAGNCTCTAGAGGGGTTGGGGGGGGGGGCACGATAGATTATGCTGAAAGCGGATTCTGGTCTAATTTGATGGTCTGTATTCACTAGATGACCAAGAATGGCGCTTCCTGTTCCTCCTTGTTTTAACCAGCGTGAGCAGTGTTCCTTCATCTGTTGGGATAGTTACCTCGCCGTGCGGCCAATGTACGTTGCATTACAAACGCACCGGGAAGAGTAGATAACCACAGAAGTAGCCAGCGTAGACACCCTATCTTTGTGACTAGTTCGGATGATGGGCGAGAATGTGAACACATGATAATCGAGCTGCGTTGTAAGTCCGCTTCACTGCACGCGTCAGACGTTCGTCCAAGAGATCTGATATAGCATCTTGAAAAGGTAGACGAATGAGCAATTTCTTCCTTTGGGCCTCATGAACCTGGTCGGATTGTGGCTTTTCCTGAAAGTTTCTCTCAATGAACCGTTTTCTCCGAGAACGTCTCTTAATTTTTATTAGTTCTTCATTTATCACATTGCCAGAGCAGATCTTTCGCGCTCGTGATGTGAGACTCTGAATTACATTTCTCTTCTGTCTGAGTGGGACGAAGCCGTAAGAGTGTGTACATTGTCCCGTCCAGTTTGGTTTTCTACATATGTATTCAATGCTCTAAAGAACATTCACCTTTTCGGAGGAGTGCCACATCTAGGAAAGCCAATGTCATTTTCTTCAGTTTCCAACGTGAACTGAAGTGGTTCGAGAGCTTCGTTGAATCTTTGGAGCAATCTTGTCGCGTTCCCACCTTTCGGTGTGAGACAGAATATATCGTTCACGTAGCGGCAGCATCGACTCATTTGCTCTATCTCTGGCTTCAACGTCGTGCTTTCTAATTTGGCCATAAATATGTCTACTAACAACGGGCTTAATGAGGAACCCATGAACACTCCGTCTATTTTACGGTACAGTTCTCCATCAAATAGATATTGAGTATTGTATGTACACCTCAGTATTATCTTCAGATTCTTCGATAGTATTCCTAAGTGTATTGGTTCAGTTTCAATGTGGCGACAGAGGAAATCGATGGTTTCCAATAGTGGTGCGTTCGTGAACAAGGACGTTACATCCAGGGAAAATATTTGATCTTTACGTTCCACTGGCCGATGATGTTCACAAACTCAAATGTGTCTCGTAAGTCGTATTTGGGAGCTTTTCGCACTGGTTCACCTTCGGACTTGTGTCCTTTTGGATTGGTTGGGTTAATGAATCTTATTTAAAAAAAAACAAATGTTAAAAGATTTGGGGAGATACTTTCGATAAAAACCCATTTATTCCGAAGTAATGCCACAGTGAAGATGGAGCGTAAGAAAATGCTTCACATGTTCTCTGTTCATAGGGAATAAAAACGCTGGTCATCGCTATGACAGCCCTGTGATTGGCTACTTCCCCCTTCCGGAAATCTTTAATTGTATTTTTTTAAAAGGAAGAAAAAAATGAAAATAAGGCAGTGAATGCAATGGATTGCATATTGCATGCTTATCGAGAAATGACTATTCAGGTTTGTAAATCTGTGGTTTAATGAGGCAAACAACTCCCCGGACGAGCTGATACCTACCTTTTGGTGGTCCACTTTGTTAATTTTACAGATATTCTTGTTATGTATACAATCCAGAAATTGATGATAAACGAATATGTGAGAGTATGAACACGCGTAATGCAACGATTACCGTTTTTCAGAATTGAAAGAAAGCAAGTGGGGAAGTAGAACCATAGTAAACTGTGGAGAACCACGAGAACTGTTAGAAAGAACAGTGCGAGTCGAGATTTCATGTATGCTCACACCAACCCCGGCTGATTAGGTTGGCGAAGTCGATTGCAATTATAAGATCGAAACCTGACCTGTGTGAGCAAAAAGAACTGTAAGCCACACTATCATTATCCTAGCTCTGATAAAAAGTGGGGTCATTCGATCCTGTCGTATTTATGTATAACTGGTATACGGTCCAGTGATATAAACTGTTGTTTCCTGCAGCTGTGAGATGCAGCGAAATCTGCCCTTGCAGATCGTCTATGCTCTCGGTTCAAGTTTACCTCGGGAAATAAATGTTTCACCTTTTTTTTTTT